AATGTGTAAAATTCAACGGGCCGGATTTAATTAAGAATGCACGACGGTACTTAATGAGGAAGAGAGGGCAGAATTTCAAATCTCCCGCCACGATTCACTGTCTACACCAAATTATTGCCGGCTGGCCAAACTAAACGTGGCCCGCTAACTTTAAAGCAGATTACGATAGTGAACAACTCAGACTTTATAATAAATGTGTAAAATTCACCGGGCCGGATTTAATTAAGGAGGCATGACGGTACTTAATGAGTATGAGAGTGCAGAATTTCAAATCTCCCGCCACGATTCACTGTCAACACCAAACTAATGCCGGCTAGCCAAACTAAAACGTGGCCCGCTAACTTTAAAGTACAGATTACGATAGTGAACAACTCAGACTTTATAATAAATGTGTAAAATTCACCGGGCCGGATTTGATTAAGGAGGCACGACGGTACTTAATGAGCAAGAGAGGGCAGAATTTCAAATCTCCCGCCACGATACACTGTCTACACCAAACTATTGCCGGCTAGCCAAACTAAACGTGGCCCGCTAACTTTAAAGTCAGATTACGATAGTCATCAACGAAGACTTTATGATAAATGTGTAAAATTCACCGGGCCGGATTTAATTAAGGAGGCACGACGGTACTTAATAAGTATGAGAGTGTAGAATTTCAAATCTCCCGCCAAGATTCACTGTCTACACACCAAACTATTAAATGCCGGCCAGCCAAACTAAACGTGGCCCGCTAACTTTAAAGTCAGATTACGATAGTCAACAACTAAGACTTTATAATAAATGTGTGAAATTCAACGGGCCGGATTTAATTAAGGATGCACGACGGTACTCAATATTGATAATGAAAGGGCAGAATTTCAAATCTCCCGCCACGATTCACTGTCTACATATACACCAAACTAATGCCGGCTAGCCAAACTAAACGTTGCCCGCTTACTTTAAACAAGGATTACGATAGTTAACAACTAAGACTTTGTACTAAACGGGTCAAATTCAACGGGCCGGATTTAATTAATGAGGCACGACCGAACTTATTGGTTAAGAGAGGGCAGAATTTCAAATCTCCCGCCACGATGCACTGTCTACACCAAACTAATGCCGGCTAGCCAAACTAAACGTGGCCCGCTAACTTTAAACAAGGATTACGATAGTGAACAACTAAGACTTTGTCCTAAACGGGTCAAATTCAACGGGCCGGATTTAATTAATGAGGCACGACCGTACTCAATATTGATAATGAGAGGGCAGAATTTCAAATCTCCCGCCACGATTCACTGTACATATACACCAAACTAATGCCGGCTGGCCAAACTAAACGTGGCCCGCTAACTTTAAAGACTTATTACGATAGTCAACACCTAAGACTTTGTACTAAACGGGTCAAATTCAACGGGCCGGATTTAATTAATGAGGCACGACCGTACTTATTGGGTAAGAGAGGGAGATTTGAAATTCTGCCCTCTCATTATCAATATTGAGTACTGTCGTGCCTCATTAATTAGATCCGGCCCGTTGAATTTGATCCGTTTAGTATAACGTCTTGGTTGTTGACTATCGTAATCAGTCTTTAAAGTTAGCGGGCCACGTTTAGTTTGGCTAGCCGGCATTAGTTTGGTGTATATGTAGACAGTGCATCGTGGCGGGAGATTTGAAATTCTGCCCTCTCTTACCCATTTAGTACGGTCGTGCCTCATTAATTAAATCCGGCCCGTTGAATTTGACCCGTTTAGTATAACGTCTTGGTTGTTGACTATCGTAATCAGTCTTTAAAGTTAGCGTGCCACGTTTAGTTTGGCTAGCCGGCATTAGTTTGGTGTAGACAGTGTATCGTGGCGGGAGATTTGAAATTCTGCCCTCTCTTCCTCATTAAGTACCGTCGTGCCCACTTAATTAAATCCGGCCCGTTGAATTTGACCCGTTTATTATAACGTCTTGGTTGTTCACTATCGTAATCTGACTTTAAAGTTAGCGGGCCACGTTTAGTTTGGCTAGCCGGCAATAGTTTGGTGTAGACAGTGAATCGTGGCGGGAGATTTGAAATTCTGCCCTCTCTTGCTCATTAAGTACCGTCGTGCCTCCTTAATTAAATCCGGCCCGTTGAATTTTACACATTTAGTATAAAGTCTTAGTTGACGACTATCGTAATCCTTGTTTAAAGTTAGCGGGCCACGTTTAGTTCGGAGCAGACAATAAACGCGGCGGGTGATATAACATTCTGCCCTCATTAAGTACCATCCTGCCACGTTAATTAAATCCGGCCCGTTGAATTCGATACTTTTATCCTATAGTCTTGGTTGTTGACTATCGTAATCCGACTTTTGAGTTAGTGGACCACGTTTAGTTCGGTATAGACAATGAACTTTGTATGTATGTAAAAGCGGCGGGAGATTTGAAATTCTGCCCTGTCATACTCATTAAGTACCGTCGTGCCTCGGTAATTAAATCCAGCCCGTTGAATTTCATACCTTTAGGACATAGAGTAGGTGTATGGCTACAAGTATCAATCTTTGAATTTAACGGGCCACATTTTGTTAGACGGCAGATACACTTTATACCCTTTCCAGCAGCCCACTCAGATGGCGTAAGATTTGAAATTCTGCCCTATCATACGTAAGTATACCCTTGTGCCTCCTTAATCAAATCCGACCCATTGAATTTGATACTTTTAGTGTATATAGTCTTGGTTGTTGACTACCGTAATCCGTCTGTAAAGACCACGTTCAGTTTGGTGCAGCTATAACTGCTGAGTACACATATCTCTTATGCCTAATTGGGCCCGCTGTCAACGGCCTAATTAAATCCGGCAGGTAAAATCTGAAACTTGTAGTAGACTTGTGATGTAATAAGCTATCATAACGCTTTTTTCAAGTTCATCTTCCATATTTTTTGGCTAAATTACTGATTTTTGGGTTTTCGAATCGGTACCCGAATCAGTTGCTATGTTCCATCTAGCGGCGAAACGCCGGCTGTAACGCCGGCTACGAATCGAAGGCTGAAACGCCGGCTAGCTTCACCTTGGTGTAAAAGTCATGGGAAGCCATTATAACTCCCGGCAGACCTAGGGTTAACCGTCAGGCGTGGTAACAGCAACACAACAACCCAGTAACACTAACCAGCGTGCCAGGCCCTGCAGCGTGCCTTTGCCGGTACTGTGGGGCCCAGTGGGGCCGGTAAAATTCGGTGGCCAGCTGGATACGCGCGCCAGGGGGCTGTTGTTGTTAGCGGGCCGGCTAGCTGAAATGCCACACCAGCGGTATTTTCCTGGATTTGTTCCATTTGATTTCGAAGTTGTTGAAAGAATAAATAATGGATATGATGATCGATAGAGATCAACTTCTTTTTGTCTTTTTTATTGTCTTCATCTTATGTAACTGCCTTCGTATTTCAGACAGCTTATGCATGAAATTCGCTTGTATTTATATTTTGAACATGTCTAGTTTTGACATATATCTGCTGGAGTACTCTGTGTATTGATAACTGTTAACGTGATGATAGCCGCCATCGTGAAACGCCTAATCTGCAGTACAGTAGCATATGCCTTCTGACTGGTTAAAAAAATGAAAACAAAGAAGAAATCATGTCAATAGAGCCCAAAATGGAAGATTTAAAAAATCCTGTCAATAGTGCCAAAAATGGCACTGCTGACAGGACGATCCTGTCAACAGTGTCAAAAATGGCATTGCTGACAGGACGATCCTGTCAGCAATGCAGTATTTCCTGTTATTGACAGGATCGTCCTGTCAGCAGTGCAATATTTTCTGCTATTGACAGGACGATCCTGTCAGCAGTGCAGTATTTCCTGCTGTTGACAGGACGATCCTGTCAATAGCCTCAGGCTTTCTTAAT